TGTTCATGAAAGTTACCCGAGATGGGATATGAACGATTGAGTTACTTGTCTTTTTCAATGAGAAGAAATGTGTAATAATTATAACTGATACGCAATGAACAATTGAATTATCGAAAACGTAAAAAATAACTCAATTACCATATTTCAATTCATATCTCATTCTCATTATGGTTATCTTAAATGGAAATAACAATGAGCGCAGATGTTATGAAAAAGACATGTGGGAGGATGTTGGTATATAAGAACGAATTTCAGAAAGATGTCCAGGTTATCCTCTTCTGCCTGACACTTCTGTTCTCCAGTCATGCTCAAATGGATAGTTCTGAGTTTGCTACTATTAAACGAAATGGTTCAAGCATTCACTTATGTAATTCAATGTTTCTTTTTTACTTAAATATGATCTGTTTCATGTTCAGTCCGATCAAGATTCATTAGAGCCAGTCCTGTCAAGAGTTTACCGTATGGTCATGTTGAAAGCCAAACGTAGTCGTAAGGCAAATATCTGCATAAGGAAATAAGTCCGATTTTTCAGCTTCTATGGGATTATCACTAGCTGAGTATATGGCTTCTCCTCAAGGTGGAGATAACTTTCATTTCATTCCAGGTGGAAAATGAGATTGAAACATGAACTTTCGAATTTTATTTTTGGTTTGTCTAACTGTCTGAAGCATGTCTGTCATAAGATTAAATGAATTTTTGATATGATATTGATGTTTTAATATATTTTTTCTGTTAATCACAGGGTGGAACAAGCACGTTTGGTATATCAATAGAAGCTATAACATTCTTCTCTTTGTGTTCATATATATTAAGAGAGTCAATATCGAAAGTGCGTAAACCATCTGGTAGCAGTATAAGCAAGTCAGATCCTTCAGCAGACTCCACATCAACAGGCCTATACATAGCTAATTAATAAACAATACATTTGGATACTATAATCACCCTGAATATCCCAATACAGAACAGCGAAGATTCTCGTCAATACGATTTTGAGAATTATCAATTCCAACATAAAATGATATTTCTAAAATTCATTTTTCGTATAATTGAGAGCAACATACTTGTAAATCTGTTTTCTGTCACAACAATACTCTGAACCAAAATTGTATTACAATTCAGAATTACAACAGAAGCTGTTAGTCCGCTTGTTTTTGTGAATTGTCCAATATTTTCCTCTCTCGGAGGTTCAACATTTTCTACAGAAAGCAGTGGGTAAAATTTCTATAAGACTTTTCGTGACTCATATATACAGCTGAATGAATTGCCTGAAAGTTCTGTAACCATACTCCTAGCCATGAATAATCTTGTATGAGTACATCGGATATCAACACAACAATAATTTCTTCTTGAATAGGGCTTATAAGAACAGATGAAGAGTCTACAAAGAAATGAGTTTTATCAGGAGATTACTCACGTGATTTCTGTGTATCTGCGGAGCTGTGCGTTGTGGACATTATTTTTTCTCCCTGTTCGAGAACATTTAATAAAACATATTGTTAACTAACCTCGTTTTCCAAACTTGTTTTTGCAACAGTTGATGTTCTTGAATATACTTATGAAATCAATAAGACAGTCTAACATACCTGATTTTGATTCTTCTTTTAATTTTATATTTCTTTGCTTAAACATTTTGTTTAGATCGATCATATGTTAGAACTCACATTTGAATTCTGTTGTCTTCTTATTCACAAATGATCTCAAGTTGATCTCATCTTGGAGTGTCGACATATGAGTTGCTGATTTTACATTATCAATTGAGCTATTGTTTTCATTTCTCTCTATAGTGTTGTTAGTCAGAAAATTTTTGAAGCCTTCCTCAAAATTTTGAGAAGAATTAACAGAAGATCCTAGTATATTATCAAAGGACGTGTCTACTTTTCTGAATTATGTGGTCTCCATGAAATTATATAGCTATTACCAACCTTTTCCATCGTTGTGAAAGAGCGAAATCGGATTGCACTAGAGGTGAACACCTATTTTCTCTGTTGTTAACTGTGTAGCTAGGTGGGTTAGGTGATTCTAATAATGCAGAAGTGCTATTCTGACAAAGCATTAACGATATATCTTTGAAATCTAGACAAGCACATAGCTAAGCATTGAGAGAAACGAAAACGAATACCATTTTTTCCAACATTTTTTTTGTTACCTACTATGACGATAGTATGAGGATTGGCAACAAATACATTAACAAACAATCCAAACTGTTCACTATCGATCGTTCCAATTGGTAAACCATAATAATTTTCAGCTTTAACTTGAAAATATTAAACAAAAGTGTTCTATTCTCACCATCACAGCTTAATACGAGCAATAGAATGAGTGACAGCATATTCACTAATAATGAAGTTTTGACCGCTTTCGCATTTAATCATAGAAATATAGGCCATGTTATCAGGTTAAACTGGTATGAAAATGCTTGAGACAGGACTAATCAACCTAATGAACGGTCTTCGCTGGTAGATAGAATAGAAAGCGTTAACTGTAACTGCGTAATCTCATGTTCTTAATCATCTCGAAATCAAATGATATTACATATATGTATGACAAACATACTTGTGAATCTGTTTTCTGTCACAATAATACTTTGAACCAAAATTGTATTACAATTCAGAATTACAACGGAAGCTGTTAGTTCGCTTGTTTTTAAGAATTTTTTTCTAATGTTTTCTCCTCTTGTAGCCTCCAATATGCTCAGTATGAAGCAATATGATGTGTATTTCAACTAGCTCTATGAATGAGCTTGATACTTATCCCCCGGTTATTAGTTGAAAGTGGGAAAAAATGTACCCAAGAGTTTTTTTTTTCATTCATAAAGTTTCCTGTAGTTCATTCACGAGTTTTGAATGACGAAAACAGATAAATATAGCTCTGAGAATAGATATGCTGCGACTCATAATGAAAGCCACAAGGCGGAAATTACCTGAAGGCGGAGTATGGCGGAAATTATTGAAAAGTTGAGGAAAACTTGCTGTGTTTTTCTTTTTTTTTACACCCGATTTTCGCTCCTAGATTCTCGTTAACTAAGGAGAAAATCCAAAAAAAAATGAATCGTCATATTCTTTTGTATTCAATTTTTCTGTGCAGCTGCGTCATTGCATGTGGTAAGTATTTTAGAAAAACATGGGCTCTTTCATAATATTCTTTTCTTATTTTAAGATTTTCCTCATCAACGGATAGTAAGAACTGCTCCTCATGCAACTCTACTGGTACCCTATCCAAGAGTAGGCAAACGACAAAATGACGAGAGGTATTTTTTTTTTTGTTGAAATGAAATAAGATCCATTTTCTCTGCCGTCACTATTCATACTTCCGTTTTTGAAAATAACTCGTTGAATCGGAAATTTTCACATAGACGTGAAGGTCACACTGAAAATTTCACTTTCACAAACATCTAACATTAGTAATAAAAGCTTGAAAAATTTTTTTTTTGATTTTTTCTCTTTTCCAGATTTTTGTCACCGTCAGCATCGACACAGACTGTGAAAAGACTATTTCTCGCCAGAGTGGGGAAACGAGCATTCATGTACGCAGCTCGTGTGGGAAAATGAAGAACAAATATTGTTAATTGAATCATAAAAAGCTATGAAACTGGAATAAATCATTTGAATATAATTGTAATTCTCATAATTACATTGAACCTCCAGTCGCATCGACCTAGTAACAAATGAGAAAGAATATTGAAGACTAGAAAAAACAGGGGGGAAAAAAATATGTCAAATCATATATAAGCTGAATATATTATGATAATTGTTGGATTGAATATGATTTTCATCCTTGTTTTGATAACGATTACGCAAGTGCATTCATGTGTTCCAACTCTACCGACAGCTTACGGTATTCTTGTAATTGGTCAACATATTTTAATTCATTTTAGACAATTGTTGTAGTTTGAGCATACTCGATAGCTCAAGTCTCGGAAATTCTGTTTTTGATCCAGAATTGCATAGTTGCCCTGAAACAGCAATGTTCATTTGCAGTGTTACAGAACCAGGTAGTTCAAAATCAACTGTAATAACTATAAATGGAGTGGAAACGGTTTTCTTTGTTCAACAAAACCGAATTATAAACCTTTTTGCAGATTGTAACCCCAGGAGGTGTAAATTCTCGAGTGGCATTACAGTGTGATACAAATAGAAAGATATGGTTGTATGAAACAAGTGGTCAAAGTTTGCAAGTCTCAACTGTAGGATGTCAGAACCAATGAATAAAAAAAAATGTTTCCATAACGAGTTTTAATTTATTGAAATAACTTGAGTGTAAGAACAAAAAAAAGATCAGAAAAGAAAATTTTATATCTTTTCCAGCGGTTTCCATGATATTTCTCATAAATTTATTATCATCGTATTGAAGTTTTTGATGCTACTGATGTGATCGTTCATGGATTTCCAGTTTATTTTATCATCGTTTAATCATTCATGTCATTTTACATGCATTGCTATTCTATTTCTAATCCTGTTTATAATAAAATCTCTTCAACTGTCTTGTTCTGTGTCTCTTCTGTTACATGTCTACGAAATACGATGAAAAGACAAAAGGAATAAATAAGAAAGAAGAAGAGCGAATCAAATGAAGAATGTCATTTCAGTCTTCCTGTTTCTGCATGTTGCTTGATTGTCTGAAACCTGCCTATTCCATCTTGGAGATGCGTTTCATACAGTGAATCTTTCTTTTCAGGCCATTTGTTTTAGAAGAAAATGTATTTTCTTATTTTATTTCTTATTTTCAATGGAATTTTAGCACAAGAAGCAGCACCTGAATTTGATAACCCAGAGGTCAGTAATATTCTTCAGTTACAGTTTTTTCTCTGTTTTCTCTATTATAATCATTTTATATTTCATTATTGTTCTTGTAGAACTGTGGAACCGAAAGCACTAAGTGGAAATCATGCATTGAGAGAAAAGTTGCAGATCAGGTAGTGAAAATATAGCTTTCGCTATATCTTTTACTTGCTAGGTATTCTCTTCTTGCTGTGAAAGGTTTGTACCTCCTGAATGCCGAGGTCTTTGTTCTTATGAAACAAACCCTATTGAGTCGAGAGTTGTGGTATAATGAAACATTTATAATACTTGTTAAATGAGTGTTGTTCAGTTGATGCATGCTATTCAACCTTCTCGTTGTCGATTATACAAATACTTGCCATCGATTGTTCATTGTGCTGCTCAAACTCATGATAACACTGAATGCTGCAAATCAAATGGTATTGCTGATATTGGTAGTCAATGTCTCGATATGTGCAAACCACAGGTTATAATCGACTTGTATTGAAAAACAAATAAAAAAATAATTTTACAGGAAAGCCCTCGTCGTTTCTGGGGAGTAAAGAGTTTGAGGAAAGATTTGGTTGTATGCCTCGCTAAATGGGATCAAATTATGCTTTGTAATCTCTCTGGATTGCGGGCAAGAAAAGTTCCAAGAAATAACTGAGTAATATACCTTAGTGTAACTTGAAAGTTAACTGTTCCCATTATTCAAATCTTAATTATTGTAAGAATTGTTCATACTTATTAAAAAAATAAAAATTCATTCAATGATTATTTGTTTTCTATTAGCATAGTTCATTTGCCGTTGCACCAAAAATGGAAATGAAGCTTTGCGTACGCCTTTATCGATCGTCCCAAACTGCCTAGGACCATTCATTTAGGCAGCAGTGCACGTAGTATTGACTAAAGCTTTTGAATACTTTATAACGTTGTTCGAATCAACTGATGGAAGGAGTAGATAATTCTACATCAGATGCAACAGGTATGATAACCAAATCAATGCTAAATTCATTATTCATATCTGTTTAGTAGATTCAGCTAGCATTAAATCTTCACAGAACGCACTTGAAGACCTCTCCTTGTATTGGTAAGTGCTTATTTCATTCTTTTTATATTTATAAAATATTATTTGAAGTCCCATAGAGCAATTACAAGAGGAACACAAGTCTCTCAATGAATCGTTATCCTTACTGTCATCTCAATTCGCCCAAATACAATTTCGTTTGAGGCAAATAGTCAATTCAAACGGTGAAACCAAAGATGTGAGTTGATTTTATACTCTTACACATAACTATGTAGGCGGTTGATGAGCACTCGCCTTCAGCAAGATGATACTTCATAAGCTTTTTTTGAACTTTCAGGACTTGTTGAAAGAGCTACACGATTATGCTTTCAAGGGAGTGACTGAAACATCCGTAAAGGAGGCCGACAATGAGATATTGCGAAAGTATGATGCTTGTGTTTGTTTGTTCTTCAAGCAATAATCCTAGACAAAGCGTTCTAATGAATAGTATGAGGGAAAAATTGGAAGAGCTGGAAAAAAAGGCTGAAATTGATGGTAAATTGAATAACAAAACTATTATCCAAAAACAGGTATTGACTTATTCAAACTAGCATCATTTAATACTTCAGAGATACGCGTTAGAGAAATTAACAGAGAAGATGAAGCTAAGTTTCGAATTCAACGATCTCAGTGCAACTGAGGTTGATATGCACGCAGATGAAGCCATCAGAGAAGTAAAAACAACACTTTATGTGATTGAATACTATTTCCTTCTAGTTCATGAACCCTTTTCGAGAAAAACAAGAACTAGTAGACCAACTTCAAGTGCAGATCATTGATCTAGAGAGATTCGTCAACATTTTACAAAATGAGGTCGTACGAGCGTCGGAAAATGATGAAACAAAAACAGTAAGCCAAAGCAATTGTCAAAAATAAAGAAAAAAACTTTCAGTCTGATGGCTACACTTATGAATATGCCCGTGAGAAGAAATCTTTTCTTGAATCGATTCCAGTATTTGGAACAAAGAAGTTTCAAAAGAATCAGCTTAAGAATAATGCAATTTATAATCATTATGGGTAAATTATCGATTGAAATATCAATCAATCAATCAATATATATGATATGTTTAGTGATGAACGGGCTCATCTCGAAATAGCCGTTAAAGAATATGAAAAGTTATTAAAGAAGTATACCCTACTTGTGATAGGGAACACAGATAGTGAAGGAGAGCCAGCGGCTGAAATAAACGGAGAAGTTTACTGCATTTCAGGAAATTCAAATAACATTTTTTGCAGAATATATTTAAACAGTCTCAGGAAGAAATTGTTACGGTAGTACGCAAGCGATTAGCGCCCACGCTCAAAGCTTTACTAGAGCACGGAATGCGAAAGTGTGTGAACTACAACTCATCATCTTCCTCATTCGGTTGTTTCAATCGTCGAAGCTTACGAACTGGTTAATTTTAAGCTTGTTAAAGTTGAGGGAAAAAATAATTTTTAAGGAAGCAAGACAGTGAATTCGAAATTAGATCACATATGGGATATTATAATGTTTTTTTATGAACAAAACAATGGAAAAGACAGATTAGGAGCCGTGCCAAAACTCTCACAAACATTTGCATTGGATAACATTGCAGGAAGATCACCTACAGCTAAAGAAGTATCAAAATAATATTCAAAAAATATTATTTCATTGTCTGCATTCAGTATTTATTGACGGCTATCGAAGAAATAGCAACAACACATGCTAAACTTCGAAGATCCAAAGATTCACAATGGAAAGCATTTGTGTCTGCAGCTATCAACTCTAAAAGACTTCCATCATGGATAAGGTTTTAATTATAATATTTTATTATTATATTATATTTTTAATTAAAGAATCATTTTCCGAACACGCATTGTAGTTGATCAGTGTTATCATACGTATAGTTACGTGGCACGTACAGGTATGCATATAATCCATATCACAGTTATATAGCAATCATATGTTAAGGCTGCGATGAATTGAATGATATATTCGAACATCTACATGAATACAACGTATCTGTTCCTGTTGATCTTGCGTTGAAACCATTTGTTCAAATGAAAGAAGCATTTTAAATTATATACAACATCATCAATCTATATCTATTTATCTATCGTGTATGAGACAACCCGATATCACATATTCATTATACAACAATTAATTGATGTATACATATATATATATATATATATATATAAATACAAATGCAAATGATTAAAACATTGTACTCTGTTGATGAAGTTTCTTGACACTCATTGTTCGTCGATGATTGTTCATACACCCAAATGAAAGTAAATCACGGAAACATCGACGAAAATCACTATTATACATAGTATAGATTATTGGATTTAATACCTATAAATGAATATAATATATATATATAATTGATTGATATATAGTTATCATACCGAGTTTGAATAACCAAGCCATAAGAATACTTCATTAATGATTGTAAACCATCGAGATTCGTTAATGGAGGGAGTAAATACTTCTATTAGATATAATACAAAAAATGGCATCCAACATACAATGAATCCTATATTATTATAATTATAATAATAATATATTTTGTATAATTACCTAATACGACAATTCCAATCGTTTTCAATGCTTTCCTCTCTCTTAAGTAGACCATCTTCTCTTTAGAGCCTCTGGTCGTTTTTCCTGGACCATTGATTTGATAATGTTCGTAAGCCTAAAGATTATTATACAATTGGTTATTTTTCTTATGGTTAGCGCATTGAAAACCTTCTGAAGCAAATTGTTAGGGTGGTAACGAGTTCTAACCGATTCATCCATTGATGTTGTGACCAAATCTTCTGTTTTCTCTAATTTTCTGATGATGACTTCCTCTGTTACTAAATTGTCTCTCGCATTCTTTTTGTTCTTAGATTCAGCTTGTTGAGCAATATCAGCTAATGAGTGGTATTCACGGTTTAGAACTCGATTTTGATTAGAATTGCTTGAAGCTTCCGCACTTGACGTCTTCAATAGTATAAATAAGTCAGTTAAGAATCTATATCCAACCTCTGGTCCATCTTCTACAGTTGTTCGTTCAGTGTGTAGCTCAACATACATTTTCTCTTTGTCATTATCAGTAGACTCTTCATATGCCGTAGCACTAGAGTAATTAGGTGTTCAGCAACGGAAGTGATATACTATGTTACCTTCGATATGAAAATGGTTTTGTTGCTGTTGTTACTTGCCCTAGAGAGCCCTGCTGACGATTTCGAATATGAGCATGAGGAGCGCTAGCAGTTCTGTGTGATGTGTATAGAAAAGAAGAAAAGATGAATTGACAATACCGTAGATAGTTGTAATTGTTACCCTGTCCTCCTTTACAACGTTTACTCAATCTCCAGATACCTACAGAGTTTCTCATTAAATTTTCACGTTCGGAGGCAACACGAAATATTTTAAAATAGACGGAAAGCATAACCTAAAGACAAATAAAATAATAGTGAGTGTTAAGGGCATCTAACCGCCAATGGAATATAAAAGCTTCCTAAAGCACTATATATTCTGTATGGAACTGATAATGAATAAGCACATTGAAAGCTCTCGGATGAATCCGCACTAACATTCTTTGATAATTGTTGCTGAATTGATTGATGGAGGGACGCTTGCTACCAAACTACAAACCTGTTTGCTCTGCTCAAAAATGTTCCAGCCGGGTACAATCCAAGGTGGTGTACAAACTATAAATGAAAGAATCCAAACAGAGGATAATAAACCAACAGCCATTCCCCTCGATCTAGAATAATTGATTTTTCATACTTTTATGTTTTTCTGCCTTTATAAGCTACCTGGTACGAGTGTATTTGAGAGGAGATGTGATGGCCATATAGCGATCTAAGCTTATAGCACATAAATTCAAAATGCTTGCAGTACATAGTAGAACATCTGATGTAGCCCAAACGCCACAAAGAAGTTTTCCTACAAATGTCAATTGTGTGCTATGTTTAAGTGTCAAAAAATCAAAGTCCAACCTAACGGCCAACGGTGTTCATAGAGCAAATCAAGTAATGATAGAGGCATAACAATTAATCCAACCAATAAATCTATAATTATATATAAATAATATAATTAATGAAATGTTATTATCATCACCAGCTGTAGCTAAAGAAGTCAGAAGAAGATTAGTGAATGTTCTCATTCTTTTATAAACAACGACAGAAAGAACTATGAGTACATTACCGATAATTGTCAGCAGAATCAGCATAACCTAAAATATTATTTGAATGTTAACAACATCATCTGTAATGATGATCCTTACTAGAAAAAATGCAATAAAAACATCCAAAATAGCCAAACATGGCTTTAATGTGCCATATGATATTCTGTTGTAATCCATGGTCGAAACATTATGTGCAATAGAAGTAAAGTTTATAGAAATTTCAAAATTGATCATTTTTGAGTCGTTGTTCATCCAATTTTCGATTCGGGTTTGCACGATTACATTAGCGCAAGCTCATGTTCGCGCTGAAAATGAAATTATGGTCGGAATTTTTCAAAAAGAAAAGAATTTCATTTGAGTAAAAAGAAGTGGACGATAACATTAATAAAGAATGATTATATTTTCAATGAAGCTGTTGGAATTTGATTTTGAACAAGATTTTCATGATGAAAAAAAAAATTTTTCTTCAAAAAAAAAAAAAAAAAAAAGAAGAGAAGGAAAACGAAGAAGCAGATGAAGAAAACGAAGGGAGAGTTGGATAGAAAGTTATGCTTGTTGTTAAATGCATAAATAGCAAAAATCAGTCTGAAGACAAGTACAAAATGCATTTCAGTTATTTCTAGTCTTAATGGAGTTTGAAAGCTTTTTCCATATAATATTGAATCTTCTATGTTTTAATCTGCAGCAAAAGAAGTTTTTGATCAGCCAACAAATCGCATAAATGACGAAGATTACAGCTTTAACAGACAACTTCCTTCCGTATGGACTTCATCTAGCTTTTAAGGAAATGATGAAAAATGTTTGGTCAATAATGTTATTGCGCATGGCTAATCGTGAAAAGAAAAAGTTTTCCTGAAATATGAATACAAGAGAGCGATGAAGCACACTGTTTCAAATTCTAATATGTTGAGAATGCAAATGGCAAATTATTGCGAACAAATGGACTGAATGAAACAGTGAACTTAGAAAGAGCATTGATACCAACTAAAGAGAATGATGTTGTATAATGCATTAGGCTGATGTAGGAAGAGCAAATCGTTGTTGTTGTTCGGCTAAAAAAATGGCTGAAGTACTTCATAGTGTTGAAAGTTGTTTTAAGAGCATCTCTCTCTCTCTTCCTTCCTTCCCTCTCCCTCTCTCTCTCTCTCTATTTCTTTGTGAGAATATTCAGAGTTCAATTTGGTGAGGAAACAAGATAAGACGAGAAGACGCTTGAAGAAGAGCGCACTTGCAGAACGCTGAAAAGAATAGCAAAAGCATTTTGAGATGCTTAAAAGATCTATTTTATGAAATTGAGTGAAATATCAAAACAGATTTTTGGTGGAAGTATCAAATTGAGTGTACATATATGACTATGGGAGGCTAACTAGTCGTTAAGCGAGATAACTCATTTACATAATTGATTTTGGAGCATGAAGCATGAAGATGAAACTACTAATCTGTAATGAAATTAAAGAAATGAATATAAGAAAAAACATAAAATCCTTCTTAAACAAAAATCGAAATGAACAACATATCGGGAAGTAGGCAGATAGAAATTGAAGGAGACCCAAGATTGAGTGCAAAAAGCACTCTTTCGCGGAACTAATATAATTGAAATTGCTAAAGCGTATGTAATTGAGGCAGTAAGAAGATAGAGATGAAGAAAGCGTATAAATGTAATTGTCAATCAGCAATGTGAGTTGATACAAGCATTGCTAAGGAAAAATAGAATATTTATTGAATGAAATGAAGAAGAAGACGAAGACGAAAAAGAAGAAGATGAAGATGAAGAAGAAGAAGACGAAGAGAAATAAAAAAAAACCTTTAATAGATCGATTTATGCATATCTTCGTTTGAGAGTTGAATGATAGTATTTTGAAATATTTTTGAATATATTGCTGAAAGCGGATAAATTTAAATAAAAATCCGGATGAGGAACGTTATGCGATGAGATATGAAGGAGGGAAAGGGGGGTAGGAAGGAGAAAGAGAATATATGAATGAGAATATTGGAAAAAATAAGGATGATAAATGTGTAGAAAATAAGATGAAAAGATAGAGGAAAAGAAAATTATATGGCTTATATAATGAGATGGAAGAGATACGAAAGCTTAAACTAACAAAAGATTCAACAGCAACAGATGCATGCATATGACGAAAGTGGATAAGCTTACTAAGTACTACTTACAATTAAAAATGCTTTTTGAAGCTTATAAGTATAATCATTTAAAATTTAAACTACAACTTCAAGTAGTTTTGTGAGAAAAGTGCAAAATATCCGTTAGCAGCTTGTGAATTTCGCAAAAAAAAAAAAAAAAACAGCATTGACATACACGCCCATACATCTCTCTCTACTACACACATGTACACACACATACACATACACACATATATATATATATATATATACATATCTTTGAACATAAGTATTAATTATTACAAATGGTAAAGACAAACATAGGCTGCAATAGCATATCTCCTCAATTAGTCATACCTATAGTACAGATCTGGCTATTCGATGACTGAATTTTCTTTATGTTTTTTTGTGTTCATCTGCTATTTCTCACAATGCTGAGAGACCGATGTGGAGAAGAAAAAAATTTTTTTTTTTTTCTTCTCGCCAAAGAAAAATTGTGAAAGAATCGGATAATTGCTGCATTCACATATATCCTAATGCAATGAAGGGGAAGAGAAGTGAGAACAATTGCGACGATGATTGCTTTGCTCGCCAGAACTGCCTCTCAATTCATACGAGAATCTTGAAAAAGACCTGCAGTTTTTCTACAAATTTTCGTAATAAGAAGTTTCAACGAATGAGAATGGCTAAGTTGAATGAGAAATTGGTCATCAAAATGGAAGAGATGCATTAATTACTGACCAAATTTACATGAGGAAGCCAATTTTTGGAGCAAAAAAAAAAAAGTTCCCTCAACAGCCAAGTATGAATAGTAATTACGAGAACCAAACGGAGATGGAGGCAGGGCAGGAAGAAAGAGATAGGATGGAAGCTTTCTGGGTAAAAGACGAACATAAACTTCTAATAAACTTGAAGCAACAATGAGAAGACATTTAGACAATTGATTATTGCGAAAAGATATTCAAGGCTTCTATTTTCAATTTATCATTTGCAATTTGAACAATAGCAATGAAAGTAAGCCTCTTATCAGAATCACATTTGAATCTAGTAACCGTTTAAATGGGCAATCTCGCCTTTATCTAAAAATGAATCAAATTACTCGCTATCGGCTTTATAAGCTTGGCGAGAGCCAGCTTTTCCTTCAACTTTACATGTGAAAAATTTAATGTGCCTAACCCTCTCAATAGTGGCAAGAAACCACCATCCTCCCCCCCCCTCTCTCCTCTCTTCGCTCCTTCACCCCCATCTCAAACAAACAAAAAGCCTTCAATGAGACTTAAACGTCAACAAAATCTGTGTCGACTGGAACACATGTCTTGATAGATGTATGAATAATTGAGAAAAAAACAATGAAAAACTGATTTAACTTTATTCACAAATAGCTTTCATGGCTATTGAGCAGTCATTATGCTGCTATCTCATACTGTGAATCTTCAGCCAGCTGTCGCGTATATCCAAATCAATAAATCAAAAATTAATTTTTATTACGATGCAAAATTAATATTTGGAAACAAGAAAACTTATATATAAAAAAAAAAGAAATAAAAATAAATTGTTAATCAATCAGAATTATTCTATGGAAGATGCGAATTACTGTAGACAATCGTAAAACGAGCCAACAACTTCATTGGAAATGCATTATTCTGTAATAAACAAATAATTAATTATATGCTTAATATGCCTATTATTGAGCTATCTATTCCATATATAGACTTCACTACAATATAAAATAAAAATAAAAAAGAAATATAGATATTCATGCGTTGCATCACTAGACCATACTGTTTACACGTGCTAACTATCACAACACTACAATATACCTTGATTGATCATATTTTGTTGTCGTAAACTTTGAATTGTTCGCTGATGTTCTTCTTCCGAACATTCAGAAACAACCGATAATTTTCCCGACAAACTATCATCATGTTTTTGCTTTCTTCCTGAATTTTCTTTTTTTTTTCTCTTTTCTTTTTCGAGTTTGCTATGCGATATTGCTCTACGCTTATCGGCTTCTTCTTTTTTTTTTTTTGCTACCAAACAATAACAATTGAAGATCTAACCTTTAACAATTTCTTTGCTTTGCTTCGTCTTCGTTACACAAGGAACTAAGCAAGAAATAAGACCGGATAAGATAATCAGCACACCAGCGAAAACGAATGCAGCAGGGTATGAGTTTGTCATTTCATAGACGACTCCTGAAAGCAGATAGCTTGAGATAGATCTTTGGTTTAAACAATTACCAGCGAAAGGAGCTCCAGCGAGTGAAGCAACACCCCTAGCAACAACCAAAATACCGAAGGAGTTTGTCAACTTCTCTAATCCTAAGAGATCAGTCAAAACAATTGATGTCAAACTGATATATGCAGCTGAAAGATTATGATATAGGATTATTGAAGCATTTGTTTCTCATTTACATATTATGAATCCGAACACAGCGCAGTAGACCAATAATTGCTCGAAACCATTCAAGAAAGTGCTGATGATGGTCAAAACTCCACATGACAAAAGAGATAAATTATTAATATTCAAGGCAGTCATATAACCACGATCAGCAACCCATCCGAAAACAACCCTTCCTGCAGAGACATCAGTATTTGCCATTTGCGTTTGCCATGAACTTACCAACTGTGTTTGTAACTCCAAAGCATGGAATTAAATATTTTGTGAGATCTGCTGGAACATCAGAAGCTAATGCCAAATCCTTCATGAACAAAATTGGAATATAGAATCCCATCATTCCCAAAAGATTTGATAAGCACAAGCAAATCATGACGGGGTCTTTCAACATTTCCAAATCAATCATCTCGTTAAATGCATTTCGGACAGTTAATGGAAGGCATTTGCATTTGCTTAAAAATTTAAATTCATTTACAACTTTATGAGTCTTTCTTACTCGTTATCTCTCTCAATATGACACAAGCCTGACAAATGAGATTCAGCAAGCTTTGCTCCTTCATGTAAATCTCCTTGAAAATTTTTAAATTTAGCACTTCATGCATTTATAATGTGCCTACCACTTCCTAAATTAGCTGCAAGTGATGCTTTTGGAATAGATAGCACTGAAGCTCTGTATTGTTGAAGGTTAGATCCTTCTTGTTTGAACTCCTTCAAATTTTTAATTGATCCGCTGTAGAAGATGTCAGAACGATTGAGTGGGCGGGAGAATTCGGTTGCGTCTACTCCCTCAAATATGAATTTCAAATTTTCTTTCTTTATTTGGAATGTCTTACGCTCAAGGCGAGGCTCATGTTTGATCCTTGTACTTGATTCAAAAGGTTCATTGATTGAGCCAGATTCTTTGCCGACACACGGCTCATTGAGTTTCCATCAAGGTTAGACTTTGATGTGTTCAATGCAGATGAAGATAAGGCGCCTAATCGAATGCTGCAAAGTACTTTTGATTAGAATGTACATGGAATTTACGTATGGAAGGTAATAAAAAAAATATCCGAAACACAGTACCTATTTCTTCCTTCATGGTTATCACCAGTGGGCGAGTGTGGGTTGCTTCCGTCCTTTCTTCCCTGATAACGAAATTAATTTGCTTGATCTCACACGTCTGGTACCTCGTAATCTTTTTCTTCATTTTTCAACAAATTCAATTCAACATCTTTCTCAGGTTGAGCTGGAGTGGTGAGTGGTTTATAGAGAACACCATAGAATACGCAGGAGAATAATAAGCATGCAAGTACGAAAAGAGTCTTGACCAATCCAAACTCTTAAAAATGCGATTTTCAGGCTAAGTATCGAAATTCCTTATCAATACCTTTCAAACAATATTCTGATAACACTGGAATGAGTATAGTTCCAACTCCAGATCCAGCAACAGCAATACCAGTAGCTACAGCTCTGAATTGCAATAATAAAATTGTTTTTTATAAACAACTATTAACCTCTTGCTTTCGAAGTAGAATCCGACAATAACAATAGCTGGCAGATAGATCATACCAAAACCGATTCCTCCAACAACTCCATAGAGAAGAAGGAATACAGTAATGTTAGGAGCAGCAGCAGATAACAGAAGTCCAGCTCCACCAATGAATGATCCCAAGATAACAGTTTTTCGTGCACCATATTTGTTTACAAGACCACCAACTAATGGACCTATAGATGAGTGATTGTAAAATATAATTCTTTCATTTCATTATCTTACCAACAAGCAAATAAACTCCAATTAAAAGAGATCCAATAAGTGCAGTAACAGCATCATTTGCCTACAATGAGATTGGTAACGTCATGATTTGAATGAATAAAATAATATATCACCTTGAATCTTTCTTTGAATGCACCTTTTAATTCACCGAAAGCATTACAAATACCGTCAACAATTAAGTTTGACATAAAGGCAGCGAATACGATAACCCAACCATATCCACCATCAGGTGCGACAGGTAGTAATTGATCTACAACTTCTTCCATTCCTTAAATATTATTATTATTAATATAAATATTATAAAAATGTATAATATTTAAATAGATTTTCATATTTTACGATAGACAATCGTTATTCATTTGTTTATATACAAGGTCATTTGACTAGATAGGAAAGTGAAATAATTGATGGATCATGCCAGCCACAAAGAAGCGGCCAAGTCAGAATATCACAAAATATTTGTTATCAATCAACAACCGCTCACACAATATAGAAAGAGACTAATTGAAAATGATTTTTCATTAAATAGGAAATGAGAGTAAAACTGCTAAATAGTAGACTTTCGTTTAGAATCGCAAGGTGGCAACCGAGTTGTTATCTAATGAATATCGAAGATAACAGCTAATCAGAGGAATCAAAAGCACTGTTCAATAGTCTAGTACTGTTTTAACGTACTTAAACCGCACACTGTCAAACATGATTGATAGCTTACAAACCGAATTGAATGAATATATGTTTGTTTAACGGTTTAAACTCAATCAAACTCTATTTTACAATAATGAGAGAGGGTATCATGTATCTTACCTGAATGTGCCAATGTCATATTAGAGAACCCGAGTTCGGTTTGCATGTCTTGAAGGTTGTTATCTTCATGTTGTTCATCCGATTCACGCTTGTCAGACATTACCTACAATTATATAATACATTGTGACGAATTCGTATAGCCTTCTATGCAATAAGATATATTTGAGATTGTTGAAATGCTCTAAGTCAATCAATTATTGAATGAAGTCAATTCAATCACAATTTTTATTATATTTGCTTTTTGCGGAAGAAATAGAATTATCGTCAAGCGATAGGTGCTATTATGCGCCTAATCTGTGAAATATCGCATAAGAAGATTATATTTTGAAAGCTTGAAGATAAGATGAATGCAAAATATTGGTTACATGCTGCTTCGAAAGAATATTCAGACAGATATATACACATTTATGCATGTATGCATGTATGTTTGACTAGAAATAAGAAATTAGAAAAGCAAAAGAAAGACGAACAGAGAATAGGGCGGAGCATACATCTTTCGACGGAAGCACTTTGCCTAAGTCTAATTCGTATACAGAAATAGTAGTCAAAATTAAATAAGAGTATGACAAGAGTGCAAGCATGTGAAATGGAGAGGAAGAAGACGATGAAGAAACGAAGACCAAGAGGAAGACAAAGTTGAATGAGACTGAGAAAATGATCAATTTCGCTCCAACCCCAACATAGCGTATATCTTCATGAAGAAGAAGAAGAAGAAGAAGATCATCATGATTGGGGAAATAAAACAAAAAAAATGCGACACAAGCATCATGAACGTTTCTTTTTACACAATATGATATGAAGATGAAGATTGGATTGGTAGCATTGCATCATGATATTATTAGAAAAATGAAAATGGTGGTTTCGGCTGACAGCCGCAACAATCATTTTCACATTGAAATTGTTTTAAGTTTCAGACAATAACTGTTGATTGATTGTGTGGGCGAGAAGAATCAAATAAAAAAAAAATTGCGCAAAAATCTCAGATACATTACAATATAGGAAGCTGAAAAGAGAAATCATACATTAGCCGGCAACATTTTATTTTAAATGATATTTTTAATATTCATTTGCGATATGCGTAGGGGGAGAAGACGGTATCCCTTTCTTTTCCATCAGATGAAAGTGTTTTTGAATAAAAACAAAAAAATTTTTAAAATCTAAAATGGAATGAGTCACAAATAATACGCGCAAAGCGATCAGCCGTATCCTCTGTCGGCTGATTCTTAAAGACACCATTGACATGATCATGATGAAGATGAAATAAATAAAAAAAAAGAAATATACGGCTAAGAACAAAAAAAAACTTTTGCAGAAGCTTTTCGCGGGGAGAAACAAAAAAGTTGGGAGGGGGGGGGAGAGAGAAGAAGAAGTTTTGACAATGGTTGAACGTCGTTTTGAATAGTTAGAGAGACTGACAGAATGGCAATTGGTTAAATGCAATTGGAGGAGTTAGAGAGAATGACTGGATAAGTGTACTCTGAAGTTCCAATTGGATCAATTCAAAAAAGTATGGGATGATTGATATCATAAAAAATGCAATAGAATGAATCATTTGAATCATTTTTCTAGGCTAACAATGAAGTACCATAGTCAATAGATGGTATCAATGAACAGTGGCTTTTAAAACAATGAATGTTAAATGTTGCATTGGAATGAAAAAGAAGAGGGGGGGGGGAGATGGCAGAGGAAAGACAATCAAAATTCTTGCAAGCCATTCTAAGTCTAAAAGTACAATCTCTCACTATGCTGAAATGACGCTTTGCAGACGGAAAGTTTCATATTGAATCTGAAGACGGAGAATGAGAGAACGAAGATGATGAAGACGAACAAGAAGTTGAAGAAGATAGAAATCATAGAACAAAAAAAAGCCGATAACAACTTATTATTATTCATTTTCTGTCAAACTGTCATTAAGTCATTGAAACAGTTCCACTCATCTTTTCAACTATTTTCATTTTTGTCATATTTTCTCCGATAAATCTTTTTTTATAAAAATATAAAGTATTAAGAGTAAGAGAGGGGGGGGGTTATTAATCAAAAATGCCAATCTCACGTGGTAAATGAGAATGTTTAAGATTCTTCTTCTTCTTTCGTCATCATATCAAATATTTGTATTAACAGTTAAAAAAGATTAAAAAGAAGAAGAAGAAATAGAAGAAGAAGGAAAAGAGAAAGACCAAAACTCATTCGTTGATATGATTGAAAGTTCATTGAAAGAAGTGTGAGTGTGTGAGTATGAATGAGTATGTGAGTGTGTGTGTGTGTGTGTATGGTGTGTGGTGTGTATATAATGAAATGATAATAAGAGCAAATATAACTATTATATATCTCAATTAGATCACGCTTCATCTTCTTGATCATCTTCATCTTTGAAATCGTCTTCATCTCTCTATCACATTCCTAACTATATGATAGAGAACGTTTATGAAATATCAAGAGGGAGGGGGGGGGGGGCAGTGAGATGATGTGTGTTTGAATACAAAATTTTACAAAATCTTTAACAAAAGTTTTCACATTCTATTATATCGTTTGTTCACCAGATTATTTCACAGCGTTTGTTCAAACAATAATGCGAAATTTGGGCTTAAACTATGAGAAATATGAAGAGTTTGCCAGACAGCTAAATGAAACTCACTGTTTGCAGTGAATGAACGTAACATAAGAAAGTTAAAATTTCTAATTTCACTTCCATATAGAGAGAGAGAGAGAGAAAGGAAAAGGAAGAGATAGAGATAGAGAGAGAGGGGTGGATGATGAGAGGCTGATGGGCACATATAAAGATAAATGATGAATGAGATCAATTGAAAATGATGAAATGTGAAATTTTCTATTGATTGCTTGAACTAGATATGAAATTAAAATGTCTACAAAGATGATATTTGATCCAATAAGATGAAATATTTTAAATCATCAGGTGTACACAGCTAATTTCTATGCGATTAGAAGATATGAATTGACAATGCTCACAAAAACAATCCACCAACCGCAAAAATCATAATTTTTCATTATGAGTGATGTAAGGGAGATAGAGAGAGAGAGAGAGATAGGCTGAGAGAGAAAAATGAAGAGGAACAAAAAAAAAAGAAAAAGAAAGAATATAAGTTAAAACAGAACAAAATGTAAAAGCCAAATAGTAAAGGCGGAAAGACAAATTTGAAAAAAGAAAGAACAACGAAGTTTGGCGCCGGTGATGAGTGTAGATTTACAATGATATAGGGCGTTGTTGTTCTTTCTAATCATCATCATCATCATCATGTGAGTATGAATATTACAAATATTTAAAATGAATAGTATTAATAATCATATTGTAAATAGCTAATTGTTTTATATAAAAACATACATGAATGGTAATGAAAGACAATATAGAATAGTAGAAGAAAAAAAAATTTTTTTTTTTCCTTTAAATTGTACTTCGTGCATGATTAATTCTTGAATGAATTGTTTTCTGAACATTACGAAAATGACGAATGAGGCATAATACGAGAATGTTTTGTTATGTTTTGTGTGTTTCATTCAAGTGAAAATGGCAATGAGAGGAATGAACATAGATAGTGAGAGAATGAAACAAAAAGAAATTTTTCGTTAAAACACAAAATTAAAATATAAAATTTAAAAAAAAAAAGAAATCCTATTGCACTTTGCTTTACGAAAGAAACATATGAAAAGTGCTAACGAGTGACTTCTACACATATACTCTCATTCTCTATCTCTCTCTCTCTTTCTATTCTTCTTTTTGCTGCTTCTTCATATACAACCGAGAACGGCTGAGGGAGAGAAAAAAAATGATGGGATTTGGATAGAAGCTTGTGGGGTATTTCAATGAGTTCGTAACGTTTCATAATAACTAGTGAAACTAGAAGTAGTAAGTTTGCATTAGAAATTGTTCTTAAGAAAAGGTCCTGACACTTGAACCAGCCGAAATTGAACAACAGCCGGGACCCGGACAGAGCCCAAACAGCCTGACACTCTTTGAGCCCAGTCGATATCGCGCAGAGTTATTGGAACCCACTTACTCTCTGTCTCTCTCTCTCTTTCTCTCATTTTCTCATTCTTTAGCTATATAGTTTTGACAGCAGTACTGCAATCATCAACAGCAGCAATAGTAGCAACTGCAGCACATAGAATGTCCTTTTCTCTGTCAAATCTTCTTCTTCTTTCCCTTTTCATCTCTCTTCTCTCTCATGTCGCCTTTGATGCTCTCTCTCTCTTTTTCCCTTTCTCTATCTCTCATTCTCTCTTTTTCTAAGTTTTGTATGTCTTCAAAGAAGCTGTTTATTAGGGCTGTGTGAGAACGTAAGAGAGGCAGGATTGAATTACCTTCATACGTAAGTTTCAATATTATGAACAACTATGAAATTCATTATGACGGATGTGTGTTTAAGCAATTTCAAATTTGTGGCCTTCCCATTTAATATATTTGAATGAAATTGCTTTTTCTTCCTTCCTACCCATAACCGACACTGATTTGAATAGAAAAGTAAAGTAAGAAAAGGGGGTTGAATGTAATTTTCATCTTATTTTTTTGTCCATTCCAAATGATGATGATGAGAAGTCAATGATAGAATAAGGAGAAGAAGAAGACATGAACGCGACCTACATTCATTTGAATCTCGTTTTCCATCTCTCTCTTCCATCTAACATCAATCTGAACAACTTCAAAATTTCATTGTCAATTCCAAAATGTATTATGAGATTCTACTTATATTCTTAGTTATCATAAATGAATGCAAAACTTTTGATGTTCCATGCTCTCGTAAGTTATTTCCATTATATATGATAATTACAAGCATTCACACTCTCATCCTTATAAGCTTAATTACTTTTTTTTTTTCAAAAACAGAAAAGCTCATAAGAAGTTCATGTACATATGATGAAGAGTGTTATGGATTGAATACAGTATGCAGAAAAGGAAGATGTACATGTCCAACAAACTTTGAAGAATATGATTTGAATGATAAAACAGCTATCTGTCGATTAGGTAGAATGAAATTAGATAAACGAAGAATTAAGATGAAAAATAAAATATTTTTTAGCTCCATCGAAAATAGGCGATTCATGTCAAAGAGATTGTAAGCCTCCTCTACTTTGTCGTGATGGCAGATGTGAATGTTTTGGCGGAACAGTCATTAATGGAGAATGTTCTGTCGGTAAGCTCAAATATTCAATAAACTATCCTATTCAAAGCCCACTCTCTCATGGGATTTTTCAATAGCTTCAACCAAATTACATATTTGAATGAGAAAGGTGTATTTCAAAATGGAAAAGAATAAAATAAAATCAGAATATGTAGAGAGAATGAACAAGAAAGAGAAAAGAATTTTTTAAAATGATTTTCATTTGACAGCATGCCCAGCAGGCCAACAGCTGTATGGAGTCGAATGCCAAAGAGTTGCTCATTATAACCAATATTGTGAAAAAGTATGTTTAAATAATTCATATAAGCATTCAATCAGATATATATTATCAGGATAGTCATTGTGTTGATCCATTCAATTCATGCATATCCGGCACTTGCCAATGCTCTCCTGGTACAACAAGAGACTTAATGAGTGGAAATTGCATAGCAGGTATGTGAACATAAAATGAAATTTGAAACAGCCACTTGTGACTCATACTGTTCAAACATTATTTCAGTTTGCCCAGATGGTATGCATCCTAGACAATCATGTCGTCGACTCTTCATCAATGATATTGATTTACTGGAAAGTGCGGCAAGCACAGACAGTTGTCCATTAGGATTTCGTTGTGTGACCTATGGTAGTCCTTACGTAGGACATTGTTGTCGACTACGATGCCCATATGGCGAGCCTGATTTAGGGTATTGTAAACGACCTAAATAATTTAAAAAAGAACAATAGATCAGACTACAAAAACTTTTTTTCTTCCTTAAACACACAAACAAACACAATTGATCTCTCTCTTTCAACTTTTCACAATATCGCTTCTGCATATTCCTTTTATGGAAGAAAGAAAACGAAGAAAATTATTACAAAAGAGTACAAATTCTATTTAGTATTAGAAAGACAAGCTAAAGAAGACTTTTTTTGCGAAAAATAATTTGTTTTTCACTTTTATTTTATTTTCAGCCAATCTTGTGATTCGGGTGCTTCTATAGAATCGAAATGTCGGCCGCTCACTCATTTCTGCTATACAATAAGCTCACCAGGGTGAAGAACACTTTATGAATATATAAAATAATAATGATTTATATAATATTTTAGTTCAAAATCATCATTATGTTGTCCAAGACCTTGTCGAGATCCTACCCCTCTCTATGTAAATGGCCAATGTCTTTCTGTAGCTCATAGAGATGATCCTTGTCAAATCGATCAACAAGTAAGAATTATAATTAAGTTTATGAATATATAATTGAATTTGAGTGTGAAGGAGGAATAACTATGTCATGCATAGCTGGTACATGCAGATGCAAAGTGGGATTTGAAATGGTAATCAAATTAAATATAATATAATAAAAAAGACCAATAATACTATGAATTCAGACAAATGATACACGATTTCCAAGTTGTCAAAAAATTTGTGAAAGCTTAAATGAAATATCAGCAAACGATAAATGTTTACGTAAAGCAAAGTTAGGAGAGAGATGTCTGTCATCAGCTCAATGTCCAAACTCTGCTAAATGCGGTTTCGGTTTCTGTCATTGTTTGTGCGGATATCAACAAACAATGGTATTTCACAATAATTTATTCTTTGAAGATACGAAATATTATATATATTATAGGATAACATACTTGGAGCTCGTTGTACAAATCCAGAAGATCCATTAAGCTTAAATACTATCCTAACAGGTGTTGAGCAGCTATTTGGAAAACGAAAATCAGAATAACTAATAACAAATGTAGATATATGTAATGATTTATTGTTTTTACATCAAACATTATTACAAATTCACGGAAAAAAACAACAAATAAAAGAAAATCGTTTTGTTCTTTTTGTTTTTTAAGTCTTTCGTATTCGCATTCATAGAATACACAGTGAGCTGAACACATCATGAACCACAGATTCCTTCTTCATTCAGTTGCAACTTGAAGCTGTTTAGATAATCTTTGTTACCATTAGTTTCATTTGGAATTTCTATTCATTCTTCTCTCTAGTTTCTCTCTCTCTCTATTCTCTCTCTCTCTACTCCCTCTCTCTCTCTCTTTGGATAGTTTATGAAACAAAAAACAATATAAGAATATCGAATATATAAGCTCAATTATAATGAGAGAAATGAAGGAAATTAACATATAAATTCAATTCATCACTCTAAACGTCAGATGGAATCCTAAATAAGATGAGACATCATCTTCTTCCATCTTTGGCTAGAAGTGTTCAAGGTTCTTCTTCTTCTTCCAATGCTTTCATTTGTCCGTCCCTTCTGTTTCTCCTCTTCATCTCTCCCAACCCAAAACACACAACATCTACCAACGCCATCTCTTAGATGATCCTAACGGTATTCCTGAAGATTCAATTTTCAGATCCGATACATAGAAACAATAAAATGACAACTAAAAGTTGTCTATTTCAAGGTTAAATCAATCCGTTTTCATAGAATCACCCCAATAACACACAAGACAGTATGTTGTGTCAATGTCTTTTAAACATATATATTCTCTTCTCACACATTCAAATCATGAAACTATTTGTTTCTCAGATCATTTACCTCACTCTCATATAGATAATTGCTTCCGTTATCCTTCAATTATTATATTTATATCTCTATTTCTATTTATGTTATTCCATTTTACATCTATCTCCTTCTTCTTATATGAATGAGATTTCGTTTTTCATCTTCTTCATTCGTTGTCGTCATCGTATTCTTCCGTATTCCTTTCCTCTACCCCTACTTCATTGCCACATCTGAATATATAACCTCAACTTTGACCTTGCATTTGCTATAAATCAATAGAATGTTTGTGACAATTTTTACTTTCTGACTTACCACCCCTCTTCTCCTCTCTCCATCTCGTGTCTTTTCCACACCCCGCGTACAATTCATGTTCAGAATCTATCCATCCATCTGTATATGTATATATATATAACTGGTTTTTCGATTGATCCTCTTTTGAAAATTATTCAATCGTCTCTAATTTTTAATTTTACCAAATCCCTGTTTGCCTTTATAATTGTCATGAGTGAGTATTTGAGTTACAAACTCTATGATGCACATATGTCATGACAAATATAATTAAGACAATCAGCTCGTTAGTCCTAAATAGATTATTCAACTTCAATCAATCATCAATTGTTCATTATGTTTATTGCTTACTGTTTGTAACTGCATGAACATCCATATTCAATCACATCATAATCCTCTTCTTATTATTTTTTCAAAATATCTTTTTTTATACTCCTTCTCTCCCTCTCTCTCTCTCTCTCTTTCTATCTTTCTCCATTTCTCCCTCTCTCTCTGTTTTTCTCTTGATTACTCTTTCTTCTGTTTCTTCTCTCTTTATTCATTTCATTTCGTGTGCGTGAATAAGAAATAACTTTCTCTCTATATATCCGTCCCTCTATCTCTTCCTCTCTCTCTCTCTCTATCTCTCTCTCTCTCTATCAAGAAAAATATTTGAAAAGAATGCGATTGAAAGCGAAATAAGAATGAAAGAGAATGACTGAAAATAAGATTAAAGCATAAGGCATTGGAATCAGTCCAACTCAGCGAAAAAATGAAAGATTATGCAAAGAAAGAGTGATTGAGAGTGGTAGAGAGAGACAAAAAGGGAGTATAGATAGTAATAAAGAGATTGTAAGTTAAGAAACAGAGAAACAGAGTAAGAAAGAGAGAGAGAGAGACAGAGAGAGAGAGAGAGAAATGTGATTTTGGCGGAAAAAACCCAAGTCATAAAGAATGTCTTTTGGACGGAAATAAGTCAAGTGAAAAATGGCATACATTCATTCTACCAGTATGAGTGTTCAACAACCTTTGACATGTCATGTCGAATAATTTATTTTAATGACATTTCAGAATTCAAGTTTTAAATTTACTTCACCCCACTTACCCTATTGCACTCTAACAATTTTCAAAATTTTTTTTTGAACTCGCAACAACGTTTTTCCTTCTTTTTTTTTCTTACTTGCCAAATAGGGAATGAAAGGATTAAGAGAGAGAGAGAGAGGAGGAGAAGAAGAGAGAAAGAGAGGGAAAGAGAGAGTAAGCCTAAGTCTCAAGGTATTCTAACTGATTGATGATCGAGTTCGTTTTACTATTCATTCCTTTTATCTCTTGACAAACAGAATAGAATGAGTAAATTCTTCTTTTTTTTTTTCAATTATCCAAACACAAAAATGAGGCAATGATTGTCAGCTTCAATTGGCATTTGCTTCAACTATCGGTACGAAAACATTTGAAAATGTAATTTTGTTTGAGGGGAAAAAAAAGAAAATAAAAGAAAGAAAGCAAATCCTTTGAAATGCCAAATTGCATATGTGTGGATTAGCTATTCGCGCAATTTGCTCATAAGATAATGATATGTAGCTTCTAACCATAACTATATATCCTTTTTTGGTTTGTAAGGGGAAGTGATATTGAGAGAGAAAGGAAAAAGAGAGGGTTATGAAGGTTGTGAATGACCATAAGATTCATTTAACTCATTCAATAATGGAAATGATTTATTTGAAGCTTTTACAACATGAACTCACAAAGCAATCATTAAGCATCTTCTACAGCTGCTTTATTAGTTGATGAAACAACTGTTTCATTGCTTCTCAACACAATATTGATGACAATATAGATTTTGTGTTAACGTAGTTTGTGTTCTTCAATATATTGATTGAATCAAGTTATATCAATAAGATAGACAACTGTTATCATTCATTGTAATGTTCTGCCATCCTAAATTATAGATTATAATATATATATATATAATAACTATATGTATAACTATATGATATCAATTGTTCAAATATCATTTTCATTTCTCTTCTCTATATATCCTATTCAATCATATTTTCATTTCCTTTTCTTCTTCTTCTTCTGCTTCTTTTTGCAAAACTATATATTTAAATGAAAAAAAAAAGTCTTTTGAAGCTTGTAATTTAGAAGCAAAATACTCCTCAACAACGAAGAGGAAAATACGATATTGAATGAAGTCACAAGCTGCTTGCTTCTGAATTCAGTCGAATGTTTCAAATTAAAAAATCAAAAAAATGCTTTTGTGCTCATGAGATTTTCTTTTTTTTTTCTTTCTTTCTCTCCATTTTTGGTCATCGTTTCATTTTCTCATTTGTGTGTTTCAATCTAATAGGATTCATCCATGAAAATCGTATAAATGCAACGAATATCTACGTCAATGTGTTCGGAGATGTTTATCTTACCATATTTGTACAATATTTAAATCATGTGCAAGTATCATGTTTCTGTGCCTTTACCCTCCTCCATCCTCTCAGCCCTTTACCACACTCGTTTCGATAATTCATTGGTGAATAGCTGTAGCTCATACGCTGTATAACGACATGATGACATTGTTCTTTATGTTAATCCTAATTGCATCCATACATCTCATGTCATATGTTACGATATTGCTTTTCCAAATACAAATCTTCACGTTTGTTCATTCAAACTATCTTTGAAGGATATAGGAAAACGACTGGCGGGAAGAAAAGTCGGATTGTGTTAAAGGACGGGGAGAGGAGGAGGAGGGGGGGGGATTTGGGTTTTGAAGGGTATAGAAGAAGATTGAAACAAACAATAAATTATGTTTTTTGACTTTTTATTCTAAATTCTTCCAAGTCATTTATCTTCTTTTGCCATTTATTCCGTCTTTCTATTCCCAGATGTATTGAGAACGACAGAAAATCGTTGAGCATTCGTTTCAAAATTCAAAATTCAAATGTTTCAATTTGGTAATATATTTTCTTATTTTTATGAAAAGGAAAAATTTCAAATAACAAGTTCATTGAAACTTGTCAAGCATATAAGGATTGTATTCATGTGCTTCTTATAAGCTTACAAGCTTATTCAACCTTATTGTAATTTATATTTTCAATGACATAGTTGTATTAGTCAGCTTGGATGATCATATATGTACCTTCAGTATGTATATATATATATATATACATATATATATATATATATATATACATGTATATATATATATATATAATTGTAGAATGTATACAGTTATCAGTCTATTGGTTTTGGCTTCTTATCTTTCCACTCATTCATATATCATTCATTTTGCTGACACAATTTACATATCAACAATGAAATAATTGGTAAATTGAATGAAACAAACGGAAAGAAAGCTACAATTCGTGTTCCTTCTTCATCCTCTACTCATCAGCATAAACGATATAATCTGTTAATTCATATATAGATTCCATCCTTCCTCTTCCTTTACCATTCGTTCCTTTCTTTCTCTCTCTCTCTCTCTCTCTTTCTCTCTCTTGCTCTATATCTCCACCCACCTACTCTACTTCATTTTATTTGTTTTCAAAATAACTCTTTTTCAATTTTCAATAACTTTTCCTTATTTTTCTTTTCTCCTCTTCCATCATCATCGTTTCCCCCCTCTTTCCATTCTCTTCTTTTATAGATAATTGACCGTCCAATCAATGTTATATCCTCTTCCCCACATGGCCTCATATTGCTTAGAAAATAGATTTTTGTTATTTCTTCTTACCCGAAATGGATTGACACATGTTGCGTTCGTTCATTATTGGCTACATAGAGATGTAGGCGTGCAATTGCATGACCTCTTTTTGTGGTCCACATGTTGACTTTATCAAAATGCAAGTGCTGTTTTTGAACGTTGTTATGTCCGATATCGATAAGTTTTGTGAACAAAAAAAAAAATTGAAATCAAAAAAAAAAAAAAAAAAAAACTGCAGCAGCCAGCAGCAAAAATCTTGTTTTTATTAGACCTTCACTTTCATATGAACAGCAGCAGCCCAAAAAAAAAAAAATATTTTCAATTCATTCTCACGTTGTATTATAGATTTGCACTTTTCTTTACTATTTTCTTTTTAACTTAAAAGTTCTGCCTTACTTTTTGTCTCTCTTTCTCTTTCTCTTGCATCTTCTACCCTCCTTCCCTCCCTTCTGTCCTTCTACATCGCCATCACCACCATGTTTTTCTCATATCTGGCAATCTTTTCTCTTTTCTTTTTATCTCCATTTTACTCAAGGCCTTTTTCTGTATCTATCTCTTCCTCATATTCTATATATATATATATACTTATATATATATATATGGGGCTATCCTGTTCAGAATAACAAAAACAATGTTGGAGACAATTTTTCACAAGACTCTTAAGTTTACTATCGATTGAAATTGGAATAAGGAAGTCATGAAAGCATGTCTGTTGCTTAACAATCACCATTCTTTTTATAAAAAAAAAACTTATTTTCTGTCTATTCTTGTCTAAAAAAACAACAAAAATATATATTTAAATATCTAATTTATTAATCTACCGAATCATGTTCAACATAATGAGTTGCATTGAGAAAGAAGAGAAAAAAAAAAGAAATTTGTATAGCTGAAAAGACAAAACAAAAGATTTGTGGAAGAAGTGGAGATGAAGTAAAAAAGAGAATTCAAAGAAATAGAATAGAGGCGAAAATACGCAAACGAGAGACTGAAGAAAAGAAACTGAGCATCTGCGGGGGCTCGAGGTCCCTGTTGTCATCAGGCCACCCCGCAGCACGCGCTTGTACCGTCTCTTTCTCTCATCGAGAATGACAAGTGCTAGCTGTCTCATTTTTCTCTATCACTCTAATTAACTTCTTCTTCTTTCTTCTCCCCCCCCCCTCTCCCTCCCTCCTCTCTCCCGAATGCTACTATTCACTCTAAATGTAGGATTTCCGTCAAATACTATTTATATTTATATTTATATTATTTGTTGAAATTTTACATTTAAAAAGATATTATTATAATTTATAGCTTATAACCTTTTCAATTTCTCTTTTGTTCCTTATCGCAACTTCATTTACTTTGTCGTTTACTTTATCTATTTTGTAGATTCGGACTAATATAGTCATACTCCCTCTTTCCAACTGATTTTGCGTCCGTCTTCATTTATTTTGTGAAAGATTCTCCTCTCTTATTCGAGCATATCTCTCCGTTCAACTTGAGTCTCTACTTCTCTGATGTCTTGCAACTCTCTCTTTCTCTCTCTATCTTCTTTTTATATCTCCTGTCGTGTTTGCGCACATATAGTTGAATGCGAGAGAGAGAGAACGAAAAGTGGGCTAGTAAGGAGAAGAGGTTTGGAAGGGGAGTGCCTTCAAACAGCCTCTGCATCTATGCCCGATTTCCCTCTCACCCAGCTCTCTCCTCTTTTTACGTTATTCAGAGGGACTGCGTGTCAACAATGTTCTCTACTCTCCCGAATTCGTATAATGCCTTCTGTTACGGATGACCTCTTCGTGGTCTATCACCCGACTGTGCATATGTGTATATATGTGTTGTGCACAGGCTTTCACTTGCTTGAGGCGAAGAGCTCACGATCATCATCTGTCTCTATCTCTCCACTTCTCAAGCTACATCTTGTTAAATCGTTAGAATCTGATTTGCAATGTTCTCTAACGCAACATTTGAATCCTTCAATTCAATGTCGAATATACGAATGACAGTTAGAATATCGTCCCATTTCGCATAACTAACTCCCTTCTTTAACAAAAATGAAACAAAAGTCAATCATTTCACAATCTTTCTATTGGAATTGAATTATTGACATTTAAAACCTTATTGTACGAAATAATTATATTCAACAACACAACGCTAATGAAATATCTTTAACAACAAGCATTTTTACCTACATGAGTTGCATTCCACTCTCTCTACTATTACTACTACTACTACTACAACTACTACTACTACTACAACTACTCTTACTCTAACTCCCCTCACCCCCCCCCCCCCCCCCCCCCCCCCCC